TTGTTGTTATGTGCCGTCGAGTCAGCCCTGACTCATAACGACCCCTCCTTGGGTTTCCGAGGCAGTATCACTATGGAAGTAGGATTGCCCAACCTTTCTTCCGAGGAGTGGCTGGTGGGTTTGAACCACCAGCCTTCTGGTTAGCAGTCAAGTGCCTTAGCCACTATGCTACCAGAGCTCCCAAGAGATAGGCATTTCTCAGCCCATCAGATTCACCCTTTGCCCTTGGTCAGCCTGCATTTCCAGTCTGAGATGGCAACCGTGAGCTTGCCCATTGGATGACTTGAGGGTGATGACTGCTCTGCCATCCTCTTGGATAAAGATTGTCAGCTCCATGAAGTGTCATATCTGACTTGTTCTTTACTATAGACCTAATGCCTACCATTGGGAGGGTCTCATTTACTCAATAAATCGGTGAATGAATGATCATCACCCCAACTGTACTTCAAATGCCAGCAATAGGAGAGATAAGAAAAGGAATGGTGTGATTTCCTCTTATAATGAACTACCAAAGCATTTTTTCTTTTTGCAGTCCCACAGTCTTTCTCTGCTTGTACATCATGTTCATTCAGCAGTGCTTGTGATGTGCCAGGTCCTGTGGGAGGTTTAGGACCTGCTTGCCTTAATTCTCTTACCATAGTGTAGACTCCTCGAGGGAAGACAGCTCACTGTGTGCACATTTATCAGTGGTAAATGCTTAGCATAATGATATAGGTGCTAAATAAGTATTTGCTTACAAAATGAGTATTAGCAACTTTGATATAGGAGAGAACTTCAGTGTATTGGAAGCAACAGATACTAAGTCTCAATTGCTGGACTTATACTAGTCTAGAATCTTACACACTTTTTCTTTTCTCATTTTGTTAAAATTTAATTTTGTACATGAATGCTTTGAAACTTCCCCAAGCCGTGTACCTCACTCCTCTCCTGTACAGACCGGGTGCAAAGGCGGGGTTGGCTGCTAGGAAGGGACCTGCTCGTGCCCGGCTTCCAGTACTTTCGAAAGACAGACACGCAGTTGGCTGGTGTTGCTCGATGGAGATCTAGTATTTTCCCTGCCACTGCCCATATCCTTTTTTTTTTTTTTTTCATTTATCTTTATATGTCACATAGTGGTAATGTACTTTTTGCTAGTTCCAAGCAAGAAAATTATTACTAAGGCTATTTTGGGGCTCTTTTTATAGCTTGGGCTGTCTATGGTCTTAAATCTTTTCTTCACCCAATTTTCTATTGCCTTGTCTTCACTAACTACCCTGACTATCAAACTCCCACAGTTTAATGATTGGCTTGTTAATTAGGCTGGGGCTTTTTCCCACGATTGGCTAGAGCTGTTATTATAATATGACTAGTGATATTTGTGGCCATGACTTGGGGTATATACTTAAGTACATATGTTGCAATCCATGTTTAAAAAGCTGTCTTTGTTATGTTGTTGTTGTTATGTGCCGTCGAGTAGGCCCCGACTCATAGCGACCCCTCCTTGGGTTTCCGAGGCAGTATCACTACGAAAGTAGGATTGCCCAACCTTCCTTCCGAGGAGTGGCTGGTGGGTTTGAACCGCCAGCCGTCTGGTTAGCAGGCAAGTGTCTTAGCCACTATGCTACCAGAGCTCCTATGTTATAGATAAGTTGATTTTCATCTTTGAGAATAGTAATAAAACTTTGTATAAGTGGTTAATGTAATAAGAAAGTATTCAAGTTCCTGCTAGGTGCTGGGCACTATGCTAGCAGGTCCTGGGGATACAGTGGTGAGAAGAGCAAGTATTGAGCAGTCTAGTAAAGGAAACAGGCAAGGAACACATGTACAAATGTAAACACTAATCTATTATGGAGGAAGACATCGGATGTCATACTAGAGTGTGTGGAGTGTCCAACTTAATAGGGTGGTCAGGGGCTACTTTTCTGAATATGTGACAATTAAGCTGAGATTTGAATGTCAGAAAGGACTCAGCCATGCTGGTAGGACAGAGAAGGTCATGGCAGGTATGGCAGAAGCAATGTGAAAACATCACTTGTCTTTTGAGCAAGAATTGTTTCTTTGGGGATGAGGATGGTTGTACATAGCCACTATGCATTGTCCCAGTGAGTGAGGTGGCAGCCCAGGGTCCCAGAAGTTCATGTTCATGAGATAGGGCTTCTTGGTGAATTCTTTGTGTAGTCCATACTCACCTTTACACTGCTTTCTTTTCAGTCTTTGCCACCAGCTCAGTAGCTGGGAACCCATGTAGGTAAGTGCTGTGTGTTCCTTTCCCAGTTTCCTAGCTTAGAGCATGAATAGGTAGGTCTTAGATTCTTATGAATATGGATAGCATTAAAAATTCTTTGATAACTTGTTCTTCCTTGTTCTATGATTGCCTGGTGTTCTGCTTCTGGACATTCTGGGGACAGTTTTAGCTTTCGTTAGTCACATGGAGTTGAGCAATTCAGAGTGATAGTGAAGAGGCTTGCTTCAGGGGCTGAGTTTTACTGAGTGCCTCATTCCGTACCAAATCATTCTCACTCAGGTATTTTCAGATCAGGCACATCCTAAAGATAGAGAATTTGGGGTGTAGAGCACAGCTTCTCAGAAGACTTAGCCACTACTAGGTCCTCACCATTTAGAATAGTGCCTGGCACTAAGTAGGTTCCAGAAAGGTGTTGAGTGAACAAATGAAAAGATCTTGAGGAGATATATCTAGGAGGGTGGGAATACCAAGATTTTTTTTTTATGCACATATTTAAAAATAAGCTTCTTATTTTTGGCAAATGGGAAATTAGTAGGATTATGGCAGTAGGAAACTTGAAAGTTTTCATCTGTCTGAAAAATGACTGGAAGGATCACGGAGAACAATTGGCTGTAATCCCAGAATTACAGTGCTTGGAGTACTTTGGCCTCAGATCTTTGATTAGTTATGTTTCCTACACTTTTCCTAGTTGTGTGGTCTTCAGCAAGTTATTTAACTTCATGTCTCTGTTTGCTCATTTCTAAAATGGGAGTAATAGTAGAATCCACTTTAAGAATATTGTGTTAAAAGTTAATATGTATAAAGTATTTAAAACAGTGTCAGACACACAGTAAACTCTATAGTGCTAATACTCATCATTAGAAATATGTTGTCCACATTTTAGGCAACCTCTGTCAAGAACTCAGGTCTCAAGTGATAATCAGTACGTAAAATTGATTTAAAAATTTTTAAAATCATAAAATATATCTATTTGTGTTTTTGTTTTAACAAGAACTTTCAAATAAAACAAACCCACTGTCCTCAAGTTGATTGTGACTCATAGCGACCTCCATTGGGTTTCCAAGGCGGTAAATCTTTATGGAAGTAGATTGCCCCATCTTCCTTCTGCAGAGCTGCTGGTGGGTTTGGACCACCAACCTTCTGATTAGTAGTCAAATGCCTTAGGCACTGTACCACCAGAACTTTAGTAAGATAAAATTCACATATAATAAACTTCACCCTTTTAATGTATGTATTTTAGTACTTCACAGAGTGAAGTACTACATTTTAGAATATTTCACCACCCCAAAAAGAAACTTAGAACATTTTCATCACCTCCATACCCATTGACAATCTTTACCCATTCTCTCCTCCCTCCAGCCCCTGGCCACTACTAGTCTTAGTCTGTCTCTGTAGATTTGCTTATTCTGGACATTGCAAGTAAATGATACCATACAGTATGTTGCCTTGTGGCCTTTTGTGTCTGACCTAGCATAATGTTTTCAAGTTTCATCCATACTCTGTAGCATGTATCAGTACTTCATTCCTTTTTGTAGGCAAATAATATGCCATAGTATGGATACACGACATTTGGTTTACCCATTTATCAGTTGTTGGACATTTACGTTAATTCCACTTTTAGGGTATTGTGAATATTGGTGCTATGAATGTTCATATACAATTTTTTGTGGATGTGTGTTTTCAATTCCTGAGTCATATGGTAACTTTATGTTTGACATTATGAGGTACTGCCAAACTTTTCCAAAGTGCTTGCACCATTTTACAACCCAACCAGCAATATATAAGGGTTCTAATTCCTCTACACTCTCACCAACACTTGTTACTGTGTCTTTTTAATTAGAGCCATTCTAGTGCGTATATGATGATATCTCTCTGTGGCTTTCATGTGTATTTCCCTGATGACTAATGATCTTGAACATCTTTTCATGTGCTTATTGGCCATTTGTGTATCTTTAGAGAAATGTCGATTCAAATCCTTTGATCATTTTTTAATTGAGTTATCTTTTCATTAAGTTGTATTTTTTTAATATATTCTAAATATAAGTATCTTATCATTTATATGATTTCCAAATATTCTCTCCCATTCTGAGGATTATGTTTTGAATTTTCTTGATGATGTCCTCTAAAGCACAAAAGTTTTAAATTTTCATGATGCCTGATTTATCTATTTTTTCTTTTGTTGCTCATGCTTTGGTGTCATAGCTTAAGAAACCATTGCCAATTCCAGATCACAAATACTTACTCCTATGTTTTCTTAGAGTTTTATTGTTTCAGCCCTTAACATGTATGTCTGTGGTCCGTTATGAGGTAACTTTGTACATGGTGTGAGATAAAGGCCCAATGTCATTCTTTTGCATGTGGGAATTCTTTTTGATGCTATTGTATATGGATTTTTTAATTTTATTTTATTCTCGATTTGTTTGTTGTCATGTTTGTTTTTAAACTAACTGTATTGAACAGGCTTTTTTTTAAATGGTAGAATGCCTAATCTCTCAGACAAATGTATACAGAGTATATTTCACTTTATAAAAAAAATCAAAGAAAATTATAAATTTGCCTGATTCACTGAGCTTTTTTGCTTCTTATACTTGTAATTTCCATAATTTGTTATAGTTGAGGAAGGACAATTAAATGTAAAGCTAGGCTTTTTAGAAAAGGAATAGTGAAAAATTTTATATATAATTTTAAATCCTAGAAAGTATAATTCTTCATATCTTTTCTGTGATGTTAAAGACAACAGAAACAACAGAAACCACTGGTAGAACTCTACCAGACAAGAGTGAAGAGATCAGCGGATATTTCTTGAACCCTTCGTTAGTGTCTTCAAACTGTTCACCAGCAACCCTGAAAAAGAAAACAGAAGACATGAGTGACCTTCCCTACGAGAATCAAAGAAGCATACCATTGGCTGTGACCGATGCTTTAGAACATATTATGGAACAGCTCAATGTTTTGACACAGGTAGGCTAGCATGCACTGTGTGGTAAGAAATACAAAACACCCCTGATTATAGCAGGTTGCAGACCAAACAGGGCGGGAGAGGTTTTTTTTTCTTAGCAAAGAAAGTTCAAGGTAGCAATCAATATGGCAAAATATGCTCTGCTAAGCTGTTCTAGCAAGATCTTGTGGAGGTGAGCCTAGACCCTATGTGTACACATGCTTGTGCATACATGTGCGCACGCATAATGTGCACATTGTGCTGTTTCTGTCTTCCCGTGGCCAGAAGGAAGTAATGTGGGCTACAAACAGTGATGGTACTCCATGCTGGAAATATGTTTTGTTCTTGGCTGTAATCTTTTTCCCTAGGAATTTTGATTCAGTGTGTTCAGAAGATTAGGTCATTCTCAAAAAAGTATTTAAGGCCTGAAGAAAAATACCTGGTTACTATGAAATATTGCCAATGTAGATGGTTCTTCACCCTGAAGAGATTCTCACTGTCTAGTATAGCTTCTCTTCTTCCAAAGCTTCTTTCTTTACTTCCGTCTTCTGTTGTGAAAATTAATCATTCAGCATGTTCTGGTTCCCTAGTGCCACTCTGACAAGGATATACCACAAATGGGATGGCCTTAACAAACAGTAGTTTATTCTCTTACAGTTTGGAGGCTTTAAGTCCAAGTTCCAAGTGCCAGGCTCTAGGGACTGGGTGAGAGCCCCTCGACCTTGGGGTCCAGCTCTGCCTCCTGGTCCCGGCCCACTGGAGCTAAAAGCGTTTCTTCACTCAGATAGTTGCTGGCTGCTGAGGCTGAGAAATTCCAAGGTTGACAAGTAAAAAGGCACAGTCCCGATGTTACCAAACCACACAGCAGACCATTAAGTTAAGTCCATTTTAAGTCCCAAGGTCAGCAGAGCATAGCAGGCTACTGAGCAATGACACGGCTACATGCAGAGTCCAAGCGTGCCATAGGCTAGAGACCGTTCCCAAGGCTTCTCCTTATATACAGGAAGCAGACCACATCCCAAAGGCAGCTACTCAGCTGCTTGTGGTAGATCCCATCATAGAGTTGATTGCCAGTCTCATCATGGGGTATAACTACCACCAGCTGCCCAGCCACTCAACCAGGCCCAGCCAAGTTGACACACAAACATAACTACCACACAGCAGATGTTATAAATTCCAAAAAATACATCTTCAGAATTCATGATACTGTGTTCTGACGGTGGTGATGATTTGGCATTCCCATTTTAAAATATAAACCAGTCCTTTGAGGCCAATTGACCCTTTCAAAGAAGGAATCCAAAAAACAACCAATCACATCCATAGCCACTGAGTCAGTTCTGACTCATAGCAGTCCTACAGGACAAAGTAGAACTGCCCCCAGAGGGTTTCTGAAACTGTAAATCTGGATGGAAGTATCATCTTTCTCCTGCAGAGTGGCTGCTATGTTCCAGCTACCAACCTTTCAGTTAGCAGCTGGGTGCTTTAACCACTGTGCTACTGGAGCTCCTTAAGAAGGAATACAGTGCATATTAAATAATATACCAAAGTGGTCTTACTCTTGGCCAGTATAGATCTCAATTAAGGGAAGCAGTATATTGAAATGGATACAGCAAACATTTCTTTTCCAGCACTGCTGACTCAGTGTGTCCTTTGAACAAGTCTTTTGTTATTCCTTTTTTGATACAAATGCTGGAATTTGGAATTTGTCACAAGTTATACATAAAGAGAGGTTAAGATGTGAACTAGAGAGAGATCAATTACTAGCTCAGAATGAATACTTCAAGTCAGAATGGCTCTTGCAAAGAAATCATCTAACCCAGTTCTCAACCTTGGCTATGCATTACACACCTACTCCTTACTCATTGACTATCTCTTTATCTGACACTTTCCATTTATGACAGTAGGAAAAAATCTTCTATCTGATACTTTGTGCATTAACGGCATACATCTGATAGTAATGAATGCTGGGTGTGATTCTTAAGGTTGTGTGTTAACTTGGCTGGGCCATGATTCTTAGTGGTTTGGCAGTTAGAGAATGATGTAATTTGGCAATTTGCTAATGATACAGTCACCCTTCATTTTGTGGTGTGATATGGTTGTCCTCCATTTTTGCATGTTAATAAACGAGGAGTGGGTGTAATCACCTGGCAGCTCAGCAGCATGCAGATGCCCAGTGTTCACCTCCAAAGAATCCATTTCTGGCATCAGTTTCTCAAGCATTCCATATGATTCTATTTTGCAGCTAGGGTTTGAACTGCTAGTTAAGTCACTGTTTTTATCCTGGTGATTACTTCTCAAGTCTTTGGAGTTAAGTGTCATATAGGTGGATTTGGGGTCCTGACAAATTGTGAAAAGGAACCTTGTGAAAACTTGGAGACATCATAAGGTGTGCTTGATGGAAATCATATTAAAATTACCAAATGTCACTTCTTGGCATTATGTTGGAGGTAGCTGTCTGTTTATCAGACATTATTTCCTTTAAAGGCAGTTTACCTCTCAGCTTTGTGGTCCAGTTCAGTTTTAGTTGGCTTATCACTTATGTTGCCATGACTCCCTCACCTAAACTGTCATCTTTTGATGATGGGTCCTCATCAGGGTCTCTCCCATGAATCTTTTTTATTCCCTACTCTTTAAACTTCATGACCCTTATCTCCTTTTTACCTGATGCAGAGTTGAATAAATCAGTTTAAGCTTACTGAACTTCTCAATGATTTCTTTATTTTTAATTTAAAGGACTGGCTTTCTTTTACATATTAAAGAGGTTAAAAGCAGGCACAGCACACTGCAGAGTGGGAACAGTGAAGCTGTAGGAAAGTGGCAAGTGAAATAAATAATGTTCTGATTGACTTTAATTAGACATAACTTAACATCTCAATTTAATTGCAGAGTGTTTATAACTATCTCTACTGAACTGTAATTAGAAATAAACAAGTTACATTTTAGATGGCAGATCATTTGGGTTATCCAGGGTTAAAGCTATTGATAGGTGTCTCAGTAGCTTTAGCATGTGAACCTTTGTTAATGGATGTAAAGTACCTGGTAAAATGCTTGACACATAGTAGACACTCTGTCTGTAAATGGTAGAAAGTATTATTAGATCACTGTTATTTTTAATTTGTCCTGATCTATTGTATAGAATATGAAAAAAGGTATTAAATAATAATGCTTTTAAAAATTAGTTACTTTCAGAGGATAGTAGTGAACCAATTCAGTGTCTTGAAACTTGGTAACTAAAATAGCTGAGCATTTCCACTGACCTGTACCACCAGAAAATCAAAACAGTAGATAGAGAAGTAGCTCCTATTTATACATTATTCCAACTAATATATGGGGAAAAAAATACAGAATCCCCAAGAATTAATAGATCTAGGCATTGAGTAGCTACTAAAATCACAAAGAAATGACCAGATATCATTACTGTGCCTCCTACTGAACGGATACATGACAGCCTATACTCATACCAAGGGATCAAATCTGAGTCTGGTCAGGCCAGTGGATCAAGCTGCCGATTTACAGAAATTAAGTGTTTTATATCCATTGTTTTTGTTCAGCCCTCCTAGTAACTCTGTGAGGTGCTATTATCCTCTGGTTGAGGGAACTGACAGTAATCATTGTGATTTTTTAAAAGTAAACTAGTTATCCAGCCATCTGGTCTACCATGAGTAGAATTATGACAGAATGACCAGCAATGTCATTTAAGTAGCACCTGGGCCTAGCATGTGGCGTTTT